CATTTTTGTATCCTTTGGACAAATACCTAGTAATGTAATTGCTGGGTCATAGGGTAGTTCTATTTTTAATTTTTTTGAGGAACCTCCATACTGTTTTCCAGAGTGGCTGCACCGGTTTGCATTCCCACCAACAGTGCAAAAGGGTTCCCCTTTCTCCACTTCCTCACCAACATCTGTTGTTTCCTGATATGTTCATTTTAGCCATTCTGACAGGTGTGAGGTGGTATTTCATTGTGGTTTTGAGTTGTATTTCCCTGAAGATAAGCATCTTTTCATGTGTCTGTTAGCCATCTGGATGTCTTCTTTAGAAAGGTGTCTATTTGTCTCTTCTGCCCATTTCTTCACTGTATTATTTGTCTTAGGGGTGTTGAGTTGATCAAACATCATTCTTGGTGGTGAGGGGGCCATTCCTCAGTCACCAGACCCCCTAGACAAGTCAGACCCCTAGCTACCTTTTGGGAATCACCCCACTCATTGACTCTGAGGATATTCCCCAGTTGTGGCTTAGGATCTGAGGATTGCTCAGCTTTGAGTATCTCCTAAACCCTTTGGCCCTTGAACCCATCTTAAACCCATCTCCAGTGCTCTTTTACTACAGTGAGAACAACTGAGAATAGAGACAGTCCTTCTTTGGTGAGCGAGGCTCACCCAGATGATTCCACGAGGTAGTTGGAAGTTGAGGAGGAACACTTTACTAATGTTTTCTATGTAGGCTATTTCTCTTTTTGCCAACAAATATCATGATAACTCTTCCTGGTTTCCTGAGCAACTCTAAAAATGCAATGCCTTCCTCCAAAGTCTAAGACTAGATCTGTACAAGTGTATTTCCCCGCCTTGTCTAAAAAAATAGCATGAGGCTAAAACAGGAAAGAATAAGGCTTGTTTCTGATCATTGGTTGCATTTTATTTGGTGGCTCACTATTTCCAGACCCTAGTAACAGCAATCTTTGTCTACCACAACCTTTTATTGTCTTATGATTATACTAAGGAACGTCACACCTGGCAGGGCATGGTTTCCAAGCAGGGACTTAGAAACTTGCAAAGCTGTAAACTAGTAAGCAATGAGCCAGACACATGGAACATATTTCAAAGTCAGAGATTTTAGATGGTTAACTAATTTTTTTTTCTTAACAAGAATACATATGCTTCCTAAGATATATAAAGGTACTGCCCCAAGAAGGGCATGATTTTAGTAGGTATGTGCACACATTAGCGTGCACTTGGGTGTAGGGATAAAAGCAAGGACGCAAACAGTACTTAGTTACTGGATTAAGACAAACAAGGCTTGAGAAATGTATCACTTTTCAAGGTCTTAATGGGTCCCATGTGGATGAACAGCTGGAATACTGACTTCATTCAAATCAAGATTCATTTTTTTTCCTTTTGGAAATTAACAACTTGAATTTTGAGCTTGATTATTCATTATGTTATTGCAGCACCAAAAGCTAGTCAGCATCCTTGAAAACATTTTCTCTTGAAATTACGGACTATTGCACACCAGCAGAAGTCATCTGTGCAAATTGTGAAAGCAGTTTCTCATAATCTCTCTCTCTCTCTCTAAGGAACTGAAGAGCCTTCCCATTTTTATTCATTTATTTCCAATGCATGTAAAGATCTTAGTT